ACGGTTGATGACTGACGCATGTTTTCCAGGGTATGACAACACCAGCCATGTACGGGTTCTGGGTAAAATGGGCCCCGGCGAGTGAGATGAGCAGCATTAGTTCATTCACCGTCACAGGTAGGCATGCGCAGATATCAGGATAAAGATGAAGTGGACTGAGACAGCTGAAGATACAATGAATATTTGAGTTACATGATTCGAATGTTTGAATACACAATAATTGCAACACTTTTAAATTTCACCCTAAAAGGTATTACATTATAACATCATTTACACTTTAGACCACAAATGTATTTTTCAGGCCAGTATATCGGCATCGTTGTCGGCATGGTGGCATCAGGGTTCTTGGCAGAGTCCGCGGCAGAGTGGCCCTGCTCGTTCTACGTCTACGGTAGGTTAACACTTCAATGGTTATGTTATTGGGTTGCGCCTAAAGTCCGTGAAACATGAAGTTCCAGTAAATGACATTTTTACAAAATTAAGGGTATGAAATTACTGTCATCCTGTTTCCCCCAGGCGGCCTTGGCGTGGCCTGGTCCCTGATGTGGTTTGCCTCTGTGTACCCGACTCCGGAGTTCGACCCGGGAGTGACGGAGCAGGAGTGGAAAGCCATCATGTCTCCTCCTCCTCCTCCTCCTCCTGCTCCAGCCAAGCCTGCGGTAAGTACATATACCTCACTGTGTATCACGCAATGGGGTTGTCGTGTGGTGTTCATCAGCTGTCATAATCAATGTCACTTTAATTTGGGATGTGTTAGACTAAGTTAAGTTCAAAGAATGAATGAATGGATCTGGATGAATAATCATACGACAATTATACAATAGCAGCTGTTACGGGTTGAAGTGGAGTATGATTTACAAAGCGTCAAAGGTTGATAAAGATTGACAATGCAATCTTCTATCTTATACAAATCGATCACGTGTGGTTTTATTTGAACACGAACAGGATGAAGAAGCGCCTCCTGCCGGACCGCAGCCAACTGCGAAGCCTACCGACTCGCCCTACAAGGCCATGCTGAAGAGCCCGGCGGCTCTGTCCATCTGGGTGTGTGAAGTGTGCGTAAAGTGGGTCGTGTATTTGATGCTGACATTCGCACCGCTGTACTACGTGCAAGCGCACGAGCAGCCGGTGTCTATGGTAAGTCTTCCTGTGCCACTATGTTACACCTAAAATAGTGACGCACAAACTTGGCGAAAATGTGTCTTTTATAAACCCTATAAATGACCATTATAAATGATCATTACAAAAGACCCATACTCATTAGCCACACCCGGACCCACAAGGACAACTGAAGTCATCGACAAGATAGACGAACATGATGATATTAGCGGTATTCAGGGTATAGTACATGTAGAGTCAGGAGGAAACAAGGAAGACAGAGAGAGGGCTTGCGAAGTTCTGGCTACTCGGGTTAACCCCATAGCCAGTCCGTTGGCGGCCAGAAAACTCACCAAGAGGTTGTACAAGACTGTGAAGAAAGCTTCAAAAGAGAAGAACATCAGAAAGGGCATCAGGGATGTACAGAAATTCATCAAGAAGGGAGAGAGGGGAATTGTACTGATTGCTGGGGACACAACACCCATAGAAGTGTACTGCCATCTCCCTGTTGTGTGTGAAGATGCCAAGATTCCATAGGATCTTGGAGAGGCAGCAGGGTCCAAGCGCCCAACCTGTTGTGTGCTGTTGAAGCCCAATGAAAGTTACCAGTCCAGCTATGACGAGTGCCTGACAGATGTGACAACCTTGCCTAGACCAATCTAATGCACAACTTCTTGGGGATGTGTTTTGTACCTGTAGTAGTGACAAGTCAACATTTCCAGTTTGATGGTCGTATTTGTTAGTCTGGTGGATAATATTAGATGTCAAACTATGATGCTTTTGTAATGTTAGTTTTTGGTGTCACTTTGCAAGACTTAAAAATACCATTTGACATTTATGATATAAACTTCATATTGAGAAAAGGTCATGACCATTATTTGTGAAAAAAGTGGTAAATGTCTTGTTTACCATAGTCATGAGTTGAAGTATTAAGACTATATCTTAACTCATGCAAGTCATTGTGTTCCTTATACCTTTTAGTAACAACATTTTCTATACTTTCCTGCAGAATAAAGTTGACTGTACGGACTGACTGTTGTTTTCCTGTCTCACTTTATACCTAACTTCACAAAGTACAAATCAGTGCAATAGATCAAACTCCCATTGTTTAGTTGAATTTCCCATTGAGTACAATGGAGAGAGAAACAAGGCAGGTTACAAGGTCAGGCTGACTCCACACAAAACTATTCATTGTATAGACTCAGAACTGCAGCTTATCTAAGGCTGCATCTCCTCACTTCAATTAAGTTCTGTGGGGAGCCAGCCTGATCTTGACCATGTGATGTGTCTTCATCTCGCATGGGACCAGTTTCTAACATACTAGTACCTTCCTTGAAGGAAAGAGGAATGGCCACTACAGTGAAACTCCAAATACATGTATGTTGATAGAGTTGTGCACAGGAGGGCGAAACATGCTTCCTCAGGACAAAAATCACTGAACCTAACAATATCAAGGAAGCCGTACTCAACATCTGAGAAAACAATAACAACGCAGCACACTCCCCCCCTGAGCATCTTACCCCAACAGAGGTGTTGCCCAGTGCATGTATCAGTATATTATCAAGATCAAGAGATATGTCCTGGCTTGTTTATACATATTAATAGAAACTTTATTCCCATTCAATTCTTCCTCCACCACATTGTGGAGATTTTTAGGTAAAAATCTGGACATAGAAGAACACAGATTCATTGAATTGTACCTTTATTTCTTAAGTATCTAAAAGTGGACAGTTTGAGTACATAAAATTAAGTAAACATTATTTGAAAGGGTAAAAACTAGTTATAGCAAGGAGGTTAAAACCTTCTTGGTTATACTAAAACAAAAGCAAGCACAATCACCAGAAATAGAAGCTATAAAGTAATGGGAATTATGGAAGTAATAGGTGAAAGTCATTCGAGTATGTGTATAGACAATAGATATATCTGTACAAACCCAGTAGCAGATTCATTTGCGTGTATGAATGTTTCAGTGGATTTCTGCTACATACCAGGTCTATCATAATATATTTGTACCGCATATGTTGCGCAGGAAAACTTACTTAAAAAGATGGAAAACCCTTAGATTAAGACAGGGAGCCCTTTAGTGTCTTACAAAACTAAATTTACCTTTCGTCTACAATAGTGCCAGAGTCAATATATACACATCTGTAGAAAATATCTTCATATCTCATATACGATATGTGTTGTTGTTTTCACTTCACCAGCCTGCCTTCAGTTGTTGGAATCATTTCTTGTGTGTTCTCGTCCTCAATCTCCTGGTCACGATGGAGTGTGCATCCTCCGCTGGCTCATTGATCCCTGTTGATACCAGCTACAAGAAGAAACAAAAAGTCATTAGTAAAAAAATTTAGTTCATGTTGTTTCAACATGAAAGACAATCTGGAGAGGCGCTATGCTCCCTGAAGCATGCGCTATGCTCCCTGAAGCATAAGATGCTGAGTGAGAGAGAGACTTTTGTCAACAACTTTGTTGGACGGCCTTGAACCTGCTGACAGATAGAATTACCCTACCATGGCTGGAGGACAAAGGCATTCTATTGTAAGTATTCAGGTAATCTTTTGATAAAGAATGTGCTGACTAATTACTAGTATTCTCGTCAGGCAACTAATGTTTAGTGCTGATGTGAGCATTGGTTCTTGACTTTAAGTTAATGTCTCTACCATATCCTAAAACTTTTGACCAACTAGTTAAGTGCCAGATGTTACATAATTAGCACCAAAGAATTAGATATGACACTTTCCCCCAGTGCAGAAGGCAGAATTCACAATTTGCCCCCTTCAAGATATTGTAGCTGGCTGAACCTGAGAGAAGAGAAGCAAAGATGAGACCAAAAGGTTCTACATGTATCGCTGCTCCTCTACATAACAGCAGCGCTTGAGCCACCATTGTTCCAATGAGAAGTGCAAGTCAACAACTAATTCACTTAGCTGCAAAAAACTACATACTGATCCTTACTTGATGGGGAGGGCACTCGAATGGTGCAGAGATGTCTGTCTTGTAAAGTTTCCGACGTTTCTTTTTCTCTGCGGGCCTGGGAGGGGACTCGGCAACAGGTGACTTGGTTGGAGATGCCAGTCCCACAGCAGCCTCCACTATCTTCTTAGCTGTGGGTCACAGAATTGGTAGACACAGTAAAAAACAAAGTAAGACAAAATCTCATGGTGTAGGTGTACACCTCTTCTCTTGAAATTCGGTACATGTATATGAAACCCAGCACTTATCTTCATGTAAACACTGACAGAACAGCTGACTTGCTCACCTGACTTGGCCACAGGGGAGTTGCTGACGTAGTCACCAATCCTGGACAGGGCTGTTCTCTTGCTCCCACGGAGTGAGCTGAGTGGCAACTGATCCTCTGGAGTTTCTGGTACATGTGACTCCGAAGGGGCTGAAATGACACCAACATAAATCTTGTTCTTATACCTAAGTTATAGAGTTCATAAGACTTTGAAGTTATCCCTGGCAGTGAATGTTAATAAAACAACTTTTATCCCAACTCTTGATTGATAACTTCTTAAACAAGATGTTGTTCCTTACTTGGTGATACAGGTTCCTGCTTTATAGATGTCTTGGGGACTTTCTTCCTACTGCGGGTCCTTGTGGCTGGGGTGTCAACCTTGGGGTCTTCATTCTCCTGTAAAAACACACAATATTCATCAGCAAACTTAACTAACAAGGAAACATATGGTAGTCAGATCTGATATTGATCTGTTTGTTCGTCCCTTGTTGTCAAAGATGACCAATGGCCTTGGCTCTTCACTGTCTCGGTCGATGTGTCCGGAGGTGGCTGATGAGGCCAATTTAGATCTAGAAATACCATGAATGAACGGGACACATAAATAGAGTCTTTCTGATTCTGCTGTATATACATTTGTATTTTGAAAAGGGGCTCATGTTACTGTAGTGGACACTTAGCATTGGTAAACCATAAAGAAAAAGGAATCAGACTTTTGTGATGAATAAGCAAGTAGGCATCAGAAAATATAAAAATGTGGATACCATATAAGAAATCTGTGAACTTAAGTATCCTTACCACCAGTTCTTCACTCTTCCTTTTCCTCCCCCTACGGCTCCCTGCAGCTCGTGTGGTTTTGGTCTTGCGCTTGGTGACCACAGGTGTGACATCCATCTCCAGATGGACGGACGGGAAGCGACGCTTTCGGTTCCCCTCCTCGTCAATAATCTCACTCTCGTCAAACACAATTGGCCCGTCTCCTTCCTCTGTAGCCTGTCAAATGAGGAAGAATTAAATGTGAACCAGTCAGTAGTGACACATGCAGATTGTCTTCAATGTTCTTTCCTTGCACTGTGCATACTTTGTGGCATGTAAAATTCCATACCTCCTCAGCAGGTTCTATATCCTCCTCCTCCTCCTCTTCCTCTTGTTTGATGCTGGTGCTTCCAGTACTGCTGCCACTTGGATGGTGACTCCTCTCCTCCTTGAAAGGTAAAAGCAAATCAACTTAATGTTGTGCATGTTTATGTTCTCAACTGTTATTTATTCCAGAGCCAAAGGAAATTCTGAAGGTATGACCTCATTTACTGAGAGTTAATGCTGAGGAAGTGAGAAGTCCATTGCCACTAATGTCTACGGTCTATGAACTGAAGTGTATGATCTATGAACCAACCGATTGTGCCCAGAGTTCCCTCTGCAGGTCCTGGTTGGACTTCTTCAGTTCATCAATGATCTTGTCCTTTGCCCTGACGGCCTTGTCCAGGTTATCCGACACCTTCTCCTTGGCTCGCTGCTCCTCTACCAACTGTGACAACAAGTACACTGTCATGTACTACATGTATGTTACAAGTGGGTAATACAGGGGCATTTTTAGAGCGTCGGGCAGAAAACAATCCTCTCTAAATCTTGGTTTGTCAGCCCTAGAAAAAAAGAGTAATAAACTGGGACAGGTGGTCTTGTCACATCTACCTGTTCCATCTTCTATGGAAAATCTAAATAAACAAGCAAAGGAGACAGGCATAGCAAAGATGACAGATTTCATTATAATCAAATTTTCACTTATCAACAAAATATGCAATTTCGAGATCTTCTTTGTCAGCAGATATGATACATCTCAGTATAAAGAAAATTCTAAGGCTTGAAGAAATCAACTGCTACAGACTGAGGAAGCACACCACTGCACTACAGAGCATCACACCAGGCCTCTACCTGTGCATATTCAGCAAGGTACTGCCCATACTCCTCTTGCAGCTTTTGTAAAGGCAAAAGCAAAGGTAATAAATGTTGGTATTCTACTATGAGTTATATCCTTCACAGTGATCTAGATTTGGGCATTATCCATCCAAGAGCAGATAAAAAATGATTTGTAAAAGTTCAATCTGACACTGAACTCTGTCCAGATGTCTTACTAATGTCAGCAAATGGAAAAAAAAAGAAACTGATCAGCACCTGTTTGCGGCAGGTGTCGAGCTCCCTGCGCAGCTGGTCCTCGCTGATCATGGCGGAGCGGGTGGTGCGTCTGCCGCGGCGGGTGGCCGGGCCGGAGGTCTGCTGCTTCAGCTGCTCCTCCAGGTGAGAGATGGTGGAGTAACACTCATCCAGCTGGCTCTGAAGGGCCGTCAGACGGTCACCAGACTCCTGGGTCTGGGGAAGACAAGGAAAAACGTTACGAGTTTTATTACTGGTAGTACTGGTAATCTAACAAGAAAATTAGTAAGGTTATACAGCCTTGTTTTCTTCAGTCAGAGGCTATCTTGATTAAAGGCCAGGAAAAGCTAAAAGTGAACATCTTTTCGGATGAAATTACTGACGAAAATCTCTCTGGCCCAAACTTACTACTGTCTGCTTCTTGATGTACTAGTATGCAAGGCCTTGACAGTTACAAAAATGTACATGTGCTTAATTGCAAGCCTAAGGAAAGATTGAACCCTGCACACTTGGTCTAGAGTAACCTAGTTATGATGCTCACCTCTTCCTTCTCAGCCTTTAATGTCTTGATCTCCTCCTCTGCATCTGCCAGGGACGCCTGGGTGGCCTTTTCCCTGGCGACCAGGGCCTTGAGTTGTTTCTCGAGCTCAGACACCAGCTGGTCCCTCTCACCCCTCCACTGGGACAGCTCCTCCTCCTTCTGCTGCTGGACTGTCTCCAGATCCTGCTGCAGCTGCCTGACTGTGTCCTCCAGGGCTTCCTGTGATACATGGCAGTCAAAATCAATCTAAGCCCTCTACTTCCAGTAGCAGCAATCATATTTACCTTCAATACACTTCTCTTACCAAGAGCTTTACAAATAGTTTTGTATGATATATTTTAGTGGTTAATTCTCATAAAATTCTGAGGTGAAATCTTTTATTTTCCATTCTAGTACTTTCACATTACCTTGTCAGTGTTGTCCTTTTCTCCATCCTCAAGTTCTTTTTTCAGCTGTTCCAACTCCTGTTTGGTCTCTGACAGCCACTGCTCAAGTGTCTACATGTGCAGAGAGAATGTATTGATACAATACCAGCCATAATGACATTAGAGACACAGCAGACTAAGTGGACAAATACAGATGTAGTTTGTAATTCTGGAATAGCTGTACATGTAATGCTTTGGCAGGATATGCAAGGTTTCACTGGCAGTATTTCAAATAAGTTTGACAATTACAGAATCAAGAGGTTGTACAAACAGCTCAAAATGCTTGATTGTCCCCTGAACTGCCAGAATAGTTTATACACCAAAACCGCATCTTGGTTGCAAGAATTGGATAGAAACAACACACATTTGCAATTGTTCAATAGATTTACAATTAGTCTAACATTTCATGATATTTACCTCCACTTCCTTCTTGCTGTCAACAAGAGCCACCTCCAGACGATCTTTCTCATTCTGCAGTGCTCCCTCCTCCCCCTTTGTGGAGTGGAGTGTCCGCTCTAGCTCCTGGACTCTTTCTGACAGGGTCTTCAACTATGGAGAAGGAAATTAAAAGATTAACAAATGAATCAGATGACCAAATACAATGATTTACCAGGTAATATTTACTGTTGGTGCTGTATCTTAGAAATTAGTCCTCTTAATTGACATTCATTTGCTTTTTAAATACTGTTAGCCCATGTACCGGTATGTGGCTTTTGTTGAGAAAACACAAAAGATGTTTCATCAAAGTAGGTGTTTCACAATACATTGCATATGAAGTCCTTCCCCACCTGTTCCTGCAGCCCATCTTTTTCCTCCTTCACACTCCCCAGTTCCTCCTGTGCTGACTTCCTGTCCGTGTCAGCCTGCTCATAGTTTAACTTCAGGTGTTCCAGGTTGCTGATGGTTCTCTTCAGTTCCCTCTTGTTCACATCAGACGACTCCAGGAGCTCCGAGTATTTCTTTTGCAAGTCTTCAAGTTCTGTATATCGAAGTGTCAAGAAGACTGTAAGTAATGGCCTGATTCGTTTAAATATATGTCCCCCCCCCTTCCTTATTTTGATTTAGAAGGCAAAACAAGGCTTTTATAGTGTTCTAACTTCACTGTTGGAACAAGTCTGTAGTACAGTAATCATGTAGTTGAAATACAGTACACAGTGTCATGATATTATTTTATGGCGGAGAGGTCACTGCGAAAATAAAACCACTGTGAAAGTTTCAAGCTTTACAGTGGCTTCATTACTGGTGAACTGGTTTCATGGAAGATGACTCACCGTCTGCAAATGTCTGGATCTCCTCCTGTTTGCTCTCCAGCACCTTGTCCTGGGTGGCCATGGTCGCCTCCTGCTCCTCCAGAGCCTGCTTCAGGGTGGAGATTACTGTCTCGTTACCCTGCACATCTGGGGGAAAAGGAACAAATCACATTTACACCAGCAAATCATCACTGATCATCTGAGTATTTTTGCTAAATGAACTTGAAATCGTACATTTCTGATAGGAAGTGTTTTGGGTTGTCATGACCTTCAAGTTTACCCCATTTTATGTGTCTAGCCTTTTGACTTGTCATACTGCCTCTCAATCTTCCCCACCAGTGTGCTGTCAACCTACTCTATCAGTATCTGGAAAAACAGACTTACAAATCACAGCTCAGCCAGACAAAACAATATCATACCAAACCATAGTTCCATACCAAAGTCGATGTATAATTGTAACATTTGTAGTACATAAAGGTAGATTGAATAATACACAAACCTGTGAAAGCAATCTCATATTTCTGCCTCTCATCCTCAGCCTTCCTCCTCTCCTGGTCAGCCTTCTCCATCAGCTCTTTGATGGTGGCAGACTTGGTCTTCAGACGCTTTTCCTTCGCCTCCAGGAGAGCTTCCAACTCTTCTACTTTCTTGGAGGCATCTTCTTTCTCCTTCTGCTTAATTATAGGAGAGTAGTGATCAGATCTTCCAAACACATGTATCTCATTTCTGAACATTTTCTACATGTTTAATCTTACTGCATCACAATAAGACACCTGGATAGTTTCACTTTATCTGTACCTTTGCAGCCTGTTGTTCCTCCTGAGCCAGCTTGGCTTGATCCACCTTCTCCTTCAGTTCCTGCTTCAGAGTGTTGAGGGAATCCTCCAGCCTGTCGATGGTGCTGTTCCTCTCCTCCTGCTGTGCCGTCATGGACTGCAAGGTGGCTCTCATGTCAACCTCCCGGGAACGGGTCTGTGCAGCAGGCAAAAAGTATAACATTATGACCACCAAATCCCTCTATACGTGCTTAAGACAAACACATGATCATACACTGCAGTACTTCCTTGGATCATGTACAACGTTTTAAAGTACATAGTGTACTTTGGCTAATCATGTTTCTGATACTCTTAAAATCAGATTTGTATGTTGACAAAGACTGAATTGAAACAGAAATTTACTGGGAGAGATATTTCTTACCTTCTCAAGGTCTTCTCTGACTGCCTTGTAGTCACTGACTGTTGATCTCACTATCTCCAGATCCTAAAACAAGAGGTAACACATCTTACACACTTACAAAAAATCAGATTGATGTACAATATTGAGATGGTCAATGCAACACAATCTTCCAGCACAGCATCAATGAACTAACAAACCTTCTCTAACATGGCAGCACGGTCTTCCTTCTCCTTCAGCTGTCCCTTCAGCCCCTCCACCTGTGTTTCCAGCTGCCTGGAGGTGCTTTCTGCATCGTGGAGGGCAGTCTTGTCAGCCTGGGTCTGATTCCACAACTTTGCAACCTGACCTTTCATCTGCAGGGCAAGAAATAAAGGTCAAGTATCAAAATATCCCAAAGTATCAGGCCCTTTCATTCAGTTGTCATTAAAGACACAATGTGATTGTGAAAGATGAGGAACAGAAATATTTAAGATTTAGAACAGTCAACATGACCATAACTGTACACTTGAAATGTTGTGACCTAATTTCCTGGGCCTACCTCATTCTCTGAAGCTTCCCTCTCCTTCAGCTGCTTGTTGACCTCAGACAGTTGATTCTGCAGCTGTGTTATTTCCTCCTGGTGGCTGCTGCAGGTGTTCTCATCCTGCTGGTGTAGCTATTTGGGAGTAGGCAACTCATGAATACTTTTAAAAATTATGGTATCATTTTTCATCAAAGACACATCTCCAGGTACAAAAAATGCTTTGGGACTTTTACTGTCACTCACATTACATCATTTTTACTTACAGTATTTGTAATTGTTTTAAAGCTGCTTTTAAAACAGCAGCCTGTGTGACTGTTCTGTAGGGTATGTATTGCTTTGTACCTTCTGCATCTCATCCAGCTTCTGAGTTAAGGAACCAACTTCACCCTCCTTCTCTCTCACGGCAGCCTCCTTGGAAGCGACATCCTCTCGCAATTCCTTAATTGCACTTTCTCTTTCGGTCATGAGGCTTGTAAGTTTATCAGCCTGTTCCTGGGACGAGGCCAGCAGCTTCTTGAGACTCCCTTCAGATTCCTTAAGCTCAGCAACATGGTTGTCTAAGTCTTTTATAGACTTCTCATTCGCAGCTACCTGCTCTTCTGCTGTCTTCAGATTCTCTCTTGCAGACTTCACATCTTTCTTGGCCAGATGCTCCCTTTTCTTGGCTTCTCCCAGCTGTTTTTCAGCTTCTTGTAACTTCTTCTCCAGCTCCAAGTTCTGTTTCTTGGTTTCCAGGTGGGAAGTATTGGCTTCTTTAAGAGCCTTTTCTAGCCTCTGCTTCTCCTTGTCTCCTTTTCTAGTTGACCCTACTATTGTTTTATTTGCTGTGTCCAGTTCTTCAACTTTGTGTTCTAATTCCAGTACCTTGGTCTTTGCAGCCTGGTGAGTCTTCACTTCTTCCTCAAGCTCTGACTTCAGTTCTTTCACTTCCTTGTTCAAGTTTTCCACAAAAGATTCATGGTCGCTCAGGGCCGTTTTGTAGTCTTCCATTGTCTTCTCATACTTGTCAGCTTTCTCCTTGTACTGGTCAGTTTCTGCTGTGGAATCTTTTGCAGCCTGCTCCAGTTCTAGAATCTTCTGCTTCAAGGAGTGCAAGTCTTCATCCTGCTTGGCCACCTTTTCTTTGTTGGAATCTGCACTTGAGGTTGCCTCTTTCAGACTGCCTTCCAATTCTTCAACTTTCTTTCTTAAAGACAGGACTTCTTCTTGCTTACTAGACAGTTCATCAGCTTTGACTTGACTAGATTCTGAAGCTGTTTGAGCCGCAATGAGACGTTCTTCCAGTTCGAAAACTTTTTGCTTTGAGGACTCAAGCTCTTCCTTTGATTTGACTAACTCTTCTGCCTGCTCTTGGTAGGAGTCTGCCTTTGTTCTTGCCTCCTTCAGAGAATCTTCCAGTTCGGACAATTTCTGACGTAAGAGTTGAATCTCCCCATCGTCTGCTGTAGAGGTGGCATTCAGCAGTAGAGTCTGGGACTGAATCTTTTCTACTAGTTCCTGGATCTCGTTCTGTTGTTTGTCTGCCTTGTTGATGGCTTCGTTTCTCTCTGATGACAGGAGAGACAGGTCTTGTTGTAGGGCTTCTATCTTTTGGTCCATCATGTCTGTGGGATATATGTTGGAGTATGAATATATACCTTGCCACTATGTATGTGATGAATGGAAATATGGACATTTCGTTCATACATTACTAGGTGTCATGGAAGACTAGCCTCAGGTGATGAAATCAAAAGGCAACCTGGTCAAAAAAATAAGAGTTACATTATTGGGAATTCAGGGTACTAGTAGTAGTATATTGTCGAAAAATACAAACTATGTTTACTGGTTACATGGAATTTGTCAGTGGAATCAAACCAGCAAGATGTCTTAGCAAGCTCCAGAAAAACACACAAAGATGAAATAAGCACAACTTGATCATTTTACATTGGCTTTAATTCTCTCAAGATTACAAGTTTGAATTCATTCACCAAATTAATATATAAGGCTTGAGGACTATTTTACTCATTCCTTTTAGAAGAATAGGTATATTAACAAACAAGATGTGCATGTAAAGCAGCGAGAGAGGATGCATAGGGAGCAATTCGAATTGTACCTCAAGACATCTTGCTGATCTGCACTTACCACCACACAAAGATCCCATATTTTCTCAATGGAGTGTTAGTGCAAGCTCAAAGATGTCACACCAAAACAGCTATTAGTATGTTAGTTGTTTGGGACAGTTCTAAAGCAGAGCCAGTGGTCAGAAATACCACAAAGAAGGGGCCTCATTCCCATATTGTTAGAGAAGTAGACCAATGTTATTTCAAAAAAACCTTATCAAGATACAGTATTTGCTAACTTGCCTGGAATGTACTATGTATTGCACTGAACTAATGGCAGTGAAGAAGCAATGTGCACCTTATACATACAAGCACTAACTGTTATAATATTGTATAGACAAGCATTTTGAATTTTGTATATACTTCTGCAACAATTTCTCTGACTTATGACTATAAACAGAACTTCAGATTCTAATTAAATGAGCAGCTACTCTTTTATAGTAAAAAAACTTCTGAAGTACAATGATCCTCAATTCTAGCTAGACAAATATAACAAGTGAAATATATATATATATCTGAGTGCAGCTGCTGAACACATAAATACATGTAAGCCCATAAAAGTTTGCTTCTTATAGTCATACTATAGCCTGACTGACAACACAGTTACTTGTACCTGCCTGTATACGTCCTGTTTGAGCGCAGGTTGTACTTAAAGCTTGGTGTGTACATGTAGTTCTGGTTACGAGGATACCTGCCCCGTATGGGAGACGTAGTCTTACACCCCCCGAATGGTTTGTACACCACCCCCGGGCTCCTAACATGTCTGTTCAACTCTGTGAGCTTACTACGTGGTGGCGTACAGAAGGGCAAGAGTGGCGACATTTTACTTGACAGTGGCCCATGTAAATTTGCTTTAACTGGTTTGTAACCACTTGTGGTGGAGCCTTCATTAGGAGAAGGGGAGGCTTGGGACTCAGGAGCAACATTTTCTGACTGATCTTGCTCAGTGCTAGAAGAAATTTGGGAGGGTAAAGAAGAGGGTGAACCTTTCTGGTCTTGGATTTGCTTAGCAAGGTCAGCGATCTTCTCTTCCTTCTCAGCAATAGTGGCCTTGGTCTGGTCTGCCAAGGTACGGAGTTCCTCAACAAGCTGCTGCAGGTCTGTGATGGTTGTATTCTGGATGAGGACAGGACAGAGTGTTAAGTATCTTCAAGTGAAACTATGACAGCATAATGAGAGAAAACTGTTCATGCACACATGCACATTTTGTTCTGAAGGTATATCTACCTGTGACTTCATCTTCTCTTCATCCTCAGTAATAGCAGCCTTCAGTTTCTCGATTTCGTCATTCTTCTCAAAGAAAGTCTCCCCTGCTTCCTTCAGTGTTTCCTAGAGTTAAACAGCAATGAAAAAGGTATGTCAACAAGATGGTGACAATATCACTCCATGTTTTAACAACTTCATACTCAGTCATACACTTCATTCTTGCATTGTAAGGATTGAAAATGGGCACAAATCTGTAGGATATAACTTTTGTGGGTTCTGACCTGGAGATCAGCTATCTCCTTCTCTTGTGCCTTGATTGTTTTCTGGGCCTCACTCAGCTCTGTCTGCAGGTGGGTGTCTACTGAACTGTTGGATGCCCCCTGGAGAGGGAAAAATGACAAGTTCAGAAATTGAAAAGTGAAAACTGTATGACAAGACATTTGATTTATTAATGGCATTTTTTCCTTGACATGCATTTACAGGATAAGTTATGTGTACCAATTCAAGGTTGGAAAGGCATGTATACCTGTTGCAGTTCAGACTTTTCTGCCTTGAGCTGGGTCATCTCCTTCTTGTGCTGGTCATCACGGCGCTGGAGTTCCAGACGTTTGAAATCGAGGTTGTCGTTTGCAATCTTCAGGTTTTCACTCAGAGAGGTCACTTGGATTGTCAGGTCCTTGATCTGTTCATCTCTTTCCTGTTACAACAATGGTGCGGTGGTTGAGGTAGAGTACTGAGTAAGAAACTTTCTAAGCAATGAACCATCAAACCAATGCCTTAGATATTGCTCAAAGGATTAAGCATTTGTTGAGGGCCCATCTGGCTTAGATTAGGTTGTACAGCCCACCTACACATTTATGGAAACTTAACTTGAGAGAATGTCTCCTATACCTTGACCTTGACCTGCTCTGCATGTAGTAGAACACTGGAGACCCACTCCTCCTCCTCGTCCTGTACCCTGTCCACCCGGGCCCGCTTGCGTGACTTCTTGATGCTCTGGCTGTACATCTCAATCCTCTTCTCCCACTTCTCCTCAATGTTCTGCTGCTGTTGTTGTAGGCGCTCACTGGTGGAAATATTAAGAATTAGATTTCCTTTCCAACCTTAATGTAACAATATAAAACTGAACTAACGTAACATGAGCTGAGGCAAATAAGATTCATATAACCAAATTTCAACCTTACAAACCCACAGAGAGTCAGTGACCGAGAGAGAATGATCAATAGGTTAGTACCTAAGTCTATAACAGTGTGCTGTGCTAATAACGTTAAATGTGAAAATCACTTCTGAAAGTCACAGACAGTCTTAAAAAGTCACACCGCTATGTTGGATTTATGCAGGCAGCCCACACATATAGTCAATATGGAGTAATCATGACTGGTGGTTATGGAAAAATAGAGCCTTCTCATTGCTCAACATCATTTGGCTATGTGATATCATAATGACAAATAACTATCATCTGACCTGTAGTCATTCTCTATCTCCACCAGAGACTTGGCCATCTCCTCACAAACCTCCTCCCTGATGCGCACCTCCATCAGAACCTTCTCCTTCCTCTCCTCTATCAGCTCCTGCTGGAGCTTCTCCACCAGAGAGGCCAGGTCCTGAACAAGTGGGGTGGGGAAAAGCACAATCAGATTTTCTTATGAAAGGCTGATACAAATGTTTGGTCATGAAGTTGCTAGAAGCTGCTTTATTGGTCAGAACCCTCATCAGTGTGTACTAAAAGAAAAAGAGCCCTCCAGAAACTCTTGTTATGGACAGGTTGTTGGTAGATATATAGATTACCACAATTAATAAAATCTTTGAGACTAATATCTTCAGTGGTCCTAAGAAGGAAACTCTTTGCCATTACTGGCATTAGCATGCAGCAGTGCAATACGTCACTACCCAAGCCATGCACAGCAAGATCTTCAGCAAAAGAATAAATGTTATGGGAAAGACCTGTGCTTGTGGGGAAGTTAACACAGTAGATAAAGTAGGAATGTTTTGAGCCCCAGTAACTATTTTGAGCAGCTACTTCACTGCAGTGTGCCCAGCTAACCAAGTCTTGTCTTACAGTTAAGTTGCGCTTGGACTTCGTCTTAGAAGTGCTTCCAGATCCTGGTGCAGATTCCATAAAGGAGTCTTTGAACTTCCGCAAACGGCTAATAATAGCCTGACCAGAGGAGACAGTGCCATCATAAACAACTGTTTACTGGATTCCGTGTTACATTATCTATTTTTGTACACATTTATAACAGAAATTTTTTGGGCATTGGAAGGTTCAAAACTACAGTGTAATGGCAATACTGCAGACACTAGAAATCCAATTATTGATACAAGTGTAGGCAGCATGCAACATTAAAAGACCAGTCTGAGATTTTTTGATGGTTTGATGATCATTCTCAGTAGATGAGGGTGAGTAGAGGCATAAAAATTTTGGCCCTGGCACTAGGTAAGGTATAAAATAATTTTCTTACCGTGTATGTAGTCTCTGCGTCATCATCATCATCTTCTTCTTCCTCCTCCTCTTCAATGACATCCTGCTCGACCATAGTGGATGGTCGGACGGCGTTAGACGCCCAACCAACAGTGGAACGACTTTTGGGTGTGGCAGAGTTGTTGAGTGCCAGAGACACGTTGCGAGGCGGTGCTGGGCGCGGGAAAGACGTGTTCCACCGATCCACCTTGGAGATTCTGGTTACAATCTGAAAATCAGAACCAAGTATCAAAAAATGTAGCAAAATGTCTTCTTTCAGAGAGATGGCATCATCTACTCATTTAAAGTACACTCTACTGATTGCTAATATTGACTTTCTCCAACAAGTAACAACTGAATACATGTACCTGCTTAGCAACTGCTGAGAACTTGAGGACATGGTATGTCTCGTCAAACATGGAGGCGCACTTGTTGACATTCACAATCATGCCAGCCTTGCCGTGCCCCAGGAAAAAACTCTGGAACAGCCGCGTCAGCTTGCTCTCACGGAACGGAATGATCTTCGGGTTATCCCTGTAAAAAAATAGAACTATTGTTGTAACTTTAATGTTGTAACAAGGAATGGATACTGCTATTGAGTTGAGTTACAGAGATTTAAAATTCTTAACTAGACACACCATTGGAAATGAAACACAAATAGAAGAGAAACTTATCCTTGCTTTAGTCTACAGACTCACAATATGTAATAGTTTTTCTACCATTTTGTGGACAGAATCAACCTTCTTTCGTATAGAACTATTCCGTAGGTACACACACCTGTGATGCTGGTTCCACCTCAGGTTCTTGATACACTTGCCAAGGGTCAGGATGGAGGTGTTGATGTTCCCTGCCTCTCTCAGTCGATCCCCAGTGCTTTGGGTTTTTGTGTAGCGCTCAGATCCAGCCAGGTCACAGAAGGACAACCTTCCAGGAAAAATAGAACTTCAGCTCACCAAATGTACTGGTTCAAAAAGTCAAATTATATACATGCCAAAACTGTCACTTCATAGTCATAGAGGGACTGGTCACTTACATGCTCATCCTGGCAACGTGTGGGTCATCAACATCCACAACTCTCAGGATCTTGATACTGAAGATACAATGGCTGAAATACAACAGAAAACATACCACTTCACAACAGAGGCAAACTTGGTGCCTTAGACTTAGGGATGGGATATCATCAATCATTAGATGGCAATGAAAAAAATCAAGATGATGTTACCAGTAAGTCTAAAAATGGTTTATAGCATATGGATCTAAAGACAGTTTGGATAAGCTGTTTACCTCCTGCTGGAGCAGTGGTTCATCTTGGTGGCAGCGATGTGAAGGTTTTTCTGCCCGATGGTCAGGATCTTGTACGCCTCGTCTGCACTGGTCACCATGATCTCTCTCAGACCTGGAAAACATGCAGGTTTCTTAGGACCACTCAACAAGCTTTCTTATCAATTCATGTCCTCGAACTAGACAGTTATGGCAACATATAGAACAGAATGCAAGAAAACCTGTATTTCCAATGACGGTTATTTAGATCAGCACTCATAGTCATACCTATATATGATACTCCATAGGAACAATAGTAACAAAAAAGGACTTTGAATATTTACACATATTTCACTACGGACTAGATTATGGCAACATAATGATGATCTGCTTGGTTCCAAATCTAACCACAAACCTTTTATGTATATACTGCCGTGCTTGTCCTCAGACAGTTTCAAAGTCGGCCTGCGCTTGTTCTTTCCCTGTGGATAGGCTTCTAGCAGGTCATAGATGTACTCATTGTAGATCTCAGCGAAAGAGACCCAGATGGAAAACTTGACAGGCCCCTGGGCATCCACACTGACAGATGTCTCATCTGCCACACGAGACTCCACCTCTGCAAGGACATCAATTCCTGACAACACCAAGCATAGAGAAGGGGGAGGGGAGGGGGTGGACACGGGACAGAGAGGAGGGTGGGAGACAACATTTGTCTGTTAGCATGCATTATCTTACGAGGCAGTTACATAAATGTTATGTTGTGACATATAGTGAACTTATGAATTACCCAAAGTGTTGCTACATTGGGAGAATATGTACTTGTGCCTTGTTGGCCTTTAGATTAAAAGGTGAAATGGACGTACAAGATACAAGATAAATGGACGTAAAAGAACACGTAACTGACATCACGAAGACAGTGAAGAGGCAGTGTACATTGGGTGTTTTATACATGTATCATACAGACACGTAAACAAACACACAGGGAACATGTTTTGAAGTATGGACATTTTAGAAACAAGACAAATACTGTAGTGACATGCCTCAAACCTTTATCTTATAAGCAAAAAATTTTGTTATTCAAAAAAATTCACCACATCAAATTAAGCTCAAGGTCAGTAGTCAGCTGGCATAAGAAAATCAAATTGCTTGAAAGTTGTCTTCAAGCTTGCAATGAAAGCGTGCTGAAGTGCCCTACCATCAGCGTCCTCCATAGTGTCAGACTTCTGTGAGGACTGGCTGCACAAGGAGTCTTCTGTCATGGCTGACATCTTGGAGACATTGGTCAAGTCTGCTCCGCTGGCTCCCTCTAGTGGCTCCTGAACAAACACCCATTATCTAAATTAGATATTCTTAGATTATCTAAATACTGCAAGGAAAAGTACTTTTACAAACATTTTACAAATGTGTATAAAACTTTTATTTCCATCCATGTTTCTGATACCATGACCATGCAGGACAGTGTTGTGAACAGTCACCTGTTTCTCTGCCATCTTCAGCACGGCTGCCTTGATGGCCTCTTGCTGACGCACACCTCTCTCGTCAAGCTTGACAACGTCAGAGAAGCATCTTGGCTTCAGGCTCATGCCCCCCTCCCACTTCTTCTCGGCTATACTGTTGAAGACCACATCCAGGGTACGGGGAAGGATGCCACCATCTTTGGAACTTCCTATGGAAAACATGTTAAAAGTACATCCTCTTAGACCTAACAAAATGACCACAACAATGGCATCAACTGCCCAAAAGTACTTGTTTGGTGTTCTCCAACAGAGTATGGGAGCAAGTGGAATGGAAATGGTTGACAGCACAGATTGGTGTGCACAGATCTCCTACCTTGTATGGTGTAAGTCTTGCCAGAGTTGGTGACCCCGTATGTAAACACCAGGCAGTTCTGTCCACCCACAAAGTCCTTCACCATACCCAGCATGGAGTTATCGAAGAAGTCCTTCTGGCAGGTGCCCTCGTTGAAGATACGAGAGAAGCTGAACTTGTGCATGATGTCACCAAACCCCCTGGTGCTGCTCTTGTACATGAAGGAATCCTTGGGGGCCATGGTGACCAAGGTGTTCTCATTATCTATGTGCATACAGCCCTGAAAGGAAAACAAACATGTCCATCACACAATTGTTTACACTAGCACATCATGATAATTGATAGATAGAAAAAAAAACTTTATGACAATAATTTAAAGATGATGTACTGTGTTCTTCAGCTTAGTGTAGTTGTTGAAGCCTCCTGAGCCTAAAGTTCTTAATTTCTTTCTACAGTGTCTTCTTCAACCTTAGCCATCTTTGTGGGTCTTAGATTTATCTTTCCATCAAGATTGGAGATAAAATACCCCCCCCTCAAGGAATGAATCAATGAAACCTAAAATTTGAATATCTTCACTTGATTCTATCTACACTTTTAAAGTCAAATGCCTACAGTTTGAAGTCACAGCTTATGTGTGATTAAGGTGACAGAATGAGCTACTCCACTAGACCTGTTCTTCTCCATGTTCCTTCTCGTCCTCTGCCAGTGGCCTGATCCGGAGGTAAACCTTCATGTGCTCAGTGCCATGGTCGATGCTGCTGCGCCCAGTCTGCACTTTGGCAGGTGTTGCAAAATCGGACAGGAGATCCTGAGGAAAAAGATGATTGGATCAGTTATGTTAGTAAGTTATTGTCTGTTACTGATGTCCTCTGGACCTCTTACATAGTATTTCTTACAAACAGAAGCTTGCCATCAGTTTGGTACATGTATTAAACTATGTGTGTGCAGCAGTGCTCCACTGCGGTACATTTTTTATGAATACAATTGCAGTGATCAACATTGAAAAAAGCAGGTAATGATATTTTTACAGGCTGTTGATTCCATAAAAATACCTTGCGGATGATTTCGTCAGAAACTGTGTCTTCAAGACCAGGATCTTCCAACATGTCCTCCTCCCCATCAGACAGTGGGATGTCCTGGGTGTCCTGATCCGACATGGTGCTGTACTAGTGTTGATACCTGTGCCAACAAAAATACCTCCAATGAAGTGGAACAACATTGATTTGTACCACGCCAAATCATGGAATGTCAAAGTGACAGATGAATAATTTTGCATGGCTGGATCTGTTTAAAACCTACAACATTTTTGGAAAGAGATGTCCAGGAAGATAGACCTTTATCCAAGCTCCTTGCTTTATCCATCCATACTTTGCAGAGAAAAAAATTCGTGATTTTTGACCGCCTCACCAATATTTTCCTGTCTAAACGCACTACAACCATCGGTCATCTTTCCGTTCACACATATTTTCATAAACCTGTACGTTTTGACTCCCAAGGAGCGCTACCTAGCTGTAAGATCCAGTAATATTTTTACCAGGCACAGATGGCAAGATGGTCGCCATTTTTGGACAAAATTTATGTCCAGGAATCTTTGACAACTCACACTTGCTTCAACAAGGCCATAGTATAACTCAAAAGCCCCTTACCTTATCTCTGTGCTCATAAACCTCTCATAACACGATAAAAATATGGAATTTTCCACGAGAAACTGAAAATCAAGACGTCTTTCGCGCCTCTCGGTTGAACACAACTGTAGCACTTTTGTACTTCAGCGCCGCAAGTTACCTATTTCAAAATTGGCCAATCAAATCCTTTCAAATAGAATCTGTTCGGACAGTACTAAAAACGGTGGCTCTGATTGGTTATCAAGTAACGTTCCCATAGATCTCGTGAGAATATGCGAGAGTAAGGAAACCTCTGAGTCTGGACAGGTCTATTTTTCAGTGAAGGGATGTGGTGTAGTGACCTTTCTATTAATTTTGATATTTCGCTTCTAGTACGTTCAAATGAGACAAAATGTTGTCATATAATTAAGTTTATTGATACTTAATTATACGATAAGGGAATTTTTCAATACTCGTTTTCACTCTTCAACGTTGTAAAAAAATTTACGTCGCGAAGCTCCCCCACGAAAACTATGAAAAAACCCTGGTTAAAACAAAATGGCGCGGTTCTGTGATTTCAACGTGCCTTACTCGGAAAACACGGAAAATCTGCATCAAATTGTGGAAATGGCAATCAAACGTGAGTATAAATAGTAGTGTATACTATAAGAACAAAGAGTGGTGCAGTAACTTCTTCTTCTATGCAGTGTTCACCATACTAATGTCTCCTAAACTATGAGGAGGGGCGGGGCACCTGGTGTGTGTGTTCAGTCGTATGTCTATGAAATTTATTCATGTCAGAAAGTTATGCAAGTCAGAGAAGTACTAAATGCAGTACGAGTTTTAAGGAATTGTGCAATAAATGTAATAAAGCTCTTTGTTTATTGTTTTGCAGTTGGTTATGAGTCAGTTGCCCTTAACTGTTGCGTCACGCCTGGAACAAAGAAAGGGCAGGCAGTAAGTATAAATTATTTAGTCCAATAATAATAATAAATAATAACTCTGGATGAATTATAATAAGAATTTTTTGTCTTTTCCTTAATTAATTAACCTTTTTAAATTAATTTACAGTTAGGTACACCAAGGAACCTTCTTAGATACACACACTTTGTATTTTGTTTCAGAACTCTTACTTAAAGGCATGAACAAGTTAGAAATTCTAATATTTTCCTCTGTCAACTCAGTTTTATACAGCAATGGGGTAATTTGAGGTTGGTAACCTTGGACTCACCAAACCTTTATGTGACTGTCGTTTGTGCTTTGATAATCACTTTGTTCTCTGTAGGCAGTTCCTTCTCCACCAAAACCAGTTGAGTTAAGCCAGGCAACTTTGGCTCCTCTAATGGTGGGTCAATCTTCATTGTTTGTTCTAAGTAATCAATACTTATCATTATCATATTGCAAGATAATTATATTATCAAAAATGTAACGGCTATGATGTCCTTGCAAGAGGCCACTATAGTTATAGTACTTATTATATTATGTATGCATGTGATTGTAGTAAAACTATTACTACACACTGTATTAGAGTTTACTGTTCATAGGTTTTTTAATCAATCAATCAATAAATCAAATATTTTTGCTGTATATTGACTTTCTTATTATGACTACCAATGCAAAATAAATTTCAAATGGCAAAGTATCAAATATGTATACAGGAACAGGACTGATTGCAACAAACATCATGTCTCCGTTTTGCAGGCACAGCGTAAAACATTCCAGCAGTTAACTCGATTGACAGCAATCATAGAGACTAATGAGCAGAAATATAAGCTGGTAAGTTCACTTGTCTTTTATGAGAAATTAGACAGTTAGCCTCTTCCTGAATCAGATGATTCCCTAAATGGGGTGTATGAAAGTGGGAACATTGCTTTTGCTTATTGATATTTCCCAGCTGATACTGATAGCTTGTGTTGTAATTCTTTCAGAATCCCAATAACCCACCAGTCAACACCTATGACATCCTTGCTGTGCAACCACTGAACATGAAGATGTTTGAAGTAAGGAGTCTTTAAAAATATGTGAACCTTGTAACAAAAAACATATCCATACCTTAAGGAAGTTAAGCTGAAAAATAGATACTGCAGAAGCTATATGTAGGGATCCAAAATATGTCCACCTATTCCCATATAATGTTGTAAATAACTAAAAATGGTTGTTAAGTTGTACTTGCAATTTTTCTTTGCCATGTAATCCAACCTGGGTGTGTACTGTTTACCTAGTTTATGTCTGCTTCAAAGGTGGCTTCAACATTATAACTAAAAATTTTATGTGAATGTTGCCTATATCAGGCAGCCTGTCATGATCTGGAGGTGGACATCATCAGCCTGGACATGACGCAGAAGCTACCCTTCCTTCTAAAGCTGACTCCTATCAAGAGGGTAAATACTAGTACAACCTGTACTTTCCCAACCAAATGGTTCTTGGTAGATTTTTGTCCTAATAAAAGACACAAGACTTTTTCTTGCAAGTAGCATGTTGAACATTGTCTAAGCTTAGTAATTCAGGTCAGGTAGCCATGATTTGATAAATAGGTTTGTAATATTGAAACTTTTAACAGATTACTCCTGTTTAGTCTAGATGCTATTTGGGTGTATGTATGCTCTCAGTCTGATAATCCCTCTAGTAACAGTCTAAGCCCCTTATATAGACCATGGAGCAAAAGTGATTTTTTCATGTTTTGCAGGCTATTGCCAGAGGAATCCGGTTTGAGATAGTTTATGCGCCGGCTATTAGAGGTAAACTTAGCATTTTAATCCATGTACCGGTATTAAGGTTTAAGCCATGGCTATAAAGTATAATGTGTAATAATTACATGCCCAACCAGAATTATATGTTTACTTGTCAACACTGTTCATGAATGATTCAAAAATATGCACAAAATCTCTAAACCTTTATGCTAAGTAATAAAGAACCAAATGAAAACTTGCATTGCTTGACTATGCCATCTGCTTCCTTAACAGATAGTACCTTAAGAAGATATATCATCTCTAATGCTACAGACTTGATGACATTCTGCAAGGGAAAGGTAAACATTGCTATCTTCCATAAAACTTTACACTTGGGAGAAGTCTCTTGCTGGCTTTGGTATCATGTGTTTCTGGTGGTAAATCAGGCCAAAAAATGTATAATAATATTTTAATATGTCTTAAAATTTAAATAGATAACACTAGATGTTAGTGTATGATTTTAGTCCAAATGAGTCATTTCAAAGGATATATGAGTATGGCAGATGCCTGGTGATTGTTTATTACTGTTTCCTTTGTTTGTAAGGAGCTGATATGTTAAGAGTTAAGACTACAGATGCATAACACAATAGAAGAGAGAGAATGTGCTATGATACAAATGTGTGTTTTAGATGTTGTTTGTTGTTGTCCTTTCTACAGAATATCATCCTTTCCAGCCAAGCTGAAAAGGTTAGATTTCACTGACATGTTTCTCAACACATTTTTGGCTATCAGAATCATTCAATATATAGTAAACTAAAAGCGTAGCAATTTTGATACAAGAGCAATGTAATTTTTGTAATCTAGTTAATTCATCATGAAACATCTACACATGTATGTATTTGAACCTGTAATTTCTTCTATCAGGTAATGATTTTATGTACATTTGTACCTCCTCAGGTGGTGGTATTGTTACACAATTCCAAATGTGTTTGGATGAAAACTAAATTCTGAGCACTCTTCTAAAAGTAAACCTACCACCCTCCTATTTCTCCTTCTCCTTGATAAAAAAAACATTCACACTCACTTATTTACAGAATTTGCGACACTTGTTGATAGTCCCAGTACACTCTTCTCCAACAGACTTCATGTTGTTGTGGATGCTAGAACAGACTGTTCATATTTTTTGTCACATTTGAGTTCTTCAGCATTATTCCATCACTTGACATTCTTCTCCTGTGTCTTTGTATAAATCTGTGCCAACAAGGCAGGGTAGCTCAGTTGGTAGAGCACTGGTTGCATGTACCAGAGACCCGGGTTCGAGTCCCGGCCCTGCCATTTCTACATGTTGATGTTTTTCTGTCCAAATAATTGTTAGCCTGTACAATATAGTGCATCCAGTATCCTATCTTCTGAGAGAGTCTTCTTTGTTTTAGGAAGTAAACTTATATTTGTTGGCTCATCTGGAAGATGACTTTTGTTTCAGGCCATAGAGCTAAGAGGTCCTCATGATGTAGCCAACCTGTATCCTTCCAGTTGTAAACAGCAAACATAAACATACATAAAGAAGAGGTTGCATTTTATCATTTTGCTTTCATCACTTGAATTTACCATAGAGAGTACTCAACAGTTGTACTTTTGCAACCGTAAGTTTCCTCCATGTAGGTATAGTAGTGAACCGTGATTTCTTCTGCAAAGGGTAGTTTACAGTAGTTTTGTAAAAGAACAAAATCTGTAGGAAAATGTCCTTGACATCCTTACCAGAGGAGTGCTGTTTGGGATGAATCAGGCGCAGGCAAAGGATGCAGTATCTGTCAACTGTAGAGCTGTGTTACTGCATGCAGGTGAGTATATTCATCTTGAGTACCATTGTATAAGTTGCTCCAGAAGAGCTTGGCTAGATATCCTTCAACACAGCAAATGTAATGTTAATGCTACAACACAGAATTGTATGAACTTGAAAAGTCTGAAGTTGAAGTTCTTGCTACATAATCAAGCTATATTTAGGTGTTTATTTGTAATTGTAGGTTACTGTGTAGGAGAATTATACAGTTTATCAGGTTATGTGGACTTTTGGAGATATCTGATTCCTTCATGTGTAGCGATTATTATTGGGTATCAATGGGTATATCTTTTTCATACATCCCTCTCAGAGACCCGAGGTTCAGCAGTTGGAGTGATCTCCATAGAGAGGATCATGAAACAAACCCCAGGGGTGATCTCCGTGGAGAGAATCCCGCCAGCCTCTGCTGACAAGAGAACTCTGGAAAAGGATTCAGGGGAAGACCCACCTGGGAAGAAGCCAAAAATGACAGCTCAGAAAAAGATTAAGTAGTCTCTTGCAGTGCATGTATAGAGGTAGTTGTTTGACTTACCTTACAATCACGAACATACTTCTCGTAGAAATTTGATTTAATTTGTGTTAAGGATGTGGTGGTTGGATACATACATTAAGTAATTTTTTTGTTCAATGATTATGTTAGGTTTCAGATAGACATAAATAATTGAGAAGACAAAGTTTTCAAGCACCATTGGTTATTTATTGGCACAAGTAATGAACAAAAAATTACTTGGTGTCAGTGAAAAACAAATACTACTATGGTATCAATTTACTGACCACTATGTGATAACTAACTTCTAATGTGGCACAATCCATATACATACCACATAATGCTGAAAAATATGTCAAGTATTCCTGGTACTATACAGTGGAAAAAGTACAGATGGACGACTAGTAACATCCCAGTTGGATTGAGAACATGCTACATAGAACAAGGCTTACTGATATTGCTGGACAGAAACCTATCATTTGCTTGCATCGATGAAATATACCAGTAGATGTCAGGTTGATTTTAGCTAAAATACACTTTATAATGAAAAACTGTAAGACGTTACACTATGATAATGGGAAAATACTGAATACTAGTAATATGCAGCATTTTGGTGTATGTTGCATTTATCATTCTCTGGAATATTGACTAATAATGGCCATACTATAAATGGTAAATACATCACATAAACTACATCTCTCTATAAACAGATATACAAACTAGTTATTTAAAAAAGCTAACAACCTATACAGCAAATGAAGGGCATACTAAAGCTTTTAGGTAACCATAGTAAAATAATCATACAAAACAGCAACAAAGGTCAAGCCATGTTGTTTGTCACCAAAGCCAGAAGGTAACAGAATGAATGGTTGGATCAGAATAAACAGCAGTTGTAGTTTCACATTTTCACAGTTCAATGCTTATATTTCGGAGTGAAGCATAGTGTACAGAGGTTACGGAAAAGATCAATGAATACATGGCTTTCATAGCCCCCAGGTGACTAATTTGAATAAAATGTGTACACTCTACATATCTGTAGCCTATGCATCATCCTCTCTTTCCTCCATAAGATCTAGTTCTTCCTGTGTGAGGTCGTCTTCATCATCATCCTCTTCCTCCTCCTCTTCTTCCTCCTCCTCCTCATTATCTTCATCTTCAAAGTCTTCATCATCATCATACTCATCATCATCATCAAAGTCGGCATCTGTGATATTTCATGTTTTATTAAGAATGCATAAAAAGACATAATCTATGCTAAACTAATGTTATAGCAGGTGCAGTTGTTGACAAGCTTTTGTAATATGGGTAATGAGAATTTTAAGAAGAGAAAGAAAGGAAGACATGTTGTATCTTGAAGAATGTACCAGTGTTATTTACCTTGAATGATTTCTCCATGCGTGACAGTCAGGCTGCCACGTGCTGTCACCCAGCCCTCAGTGTTCTCAGCATAACACTCGTACTCTCCAGCATCCTCTTCATACACAGGGTAGATCTACAGATCATGGACCATAAATACATGTAGAATGTAAGAATTGAACTTGTAACAGAAGTATTCATTCAGTCATTCTCGTACGATTTAAGTGTACAGAATTTAAGATAACTTGGCTCCATAAAAGTTACTTCGGGTAGCAATAGAAATGCTTTCAAAAGAGGAATTTGTGTACAATCTTAAAACATGCAACTCTTTCTTCTAGTTGATGTATGGTAACATCCTCCCATCCATTACCTATCTTGCTTGTAATGTGGATGGATAGAAACATGTTTTGTTCATTGTATGTAGACTTACCAGTATCCAGCTGGTGACCTGGTGTTTCTCAGGCCCACCTCGGACTTGGATGGCCAGGTTTTGCTTGTCCCCTAAAACAGCAAGGTTACACAGCTGGTCCATAAATCGTGCATGTTTTCTCATTCCCTCAGAACAACCATGAGCTAAAGAAAATTAAAATACCACAGATATTCCATCTGTAATATCCCATTGTGAAATTAAAGTTGGTGATGCAATACTTACCAGGGATTTCTGTTACCTTGACCATCCCATCAGGCCCCTTTTCCAGCTTGCGCCAAAGCATCCTGGGAGAGGGGATACCTGTCACCTCGCACATGAGGTAAACCTGAGCGCCTGAGGCGTTGACCAGGTGCTGGGGCGGGGTCACGATCTCAGGAGCTGTGGTGTAACACAAGGACTAGAACTTTAAGAAAGCCTTCAGCTAGTCCTAACCAGATGTTAGACAGATGTTCTATAGAAGGGATTGTAGAGACAGTATTTGAGAAGCATTTTGGAATCCTTTCTCAAAATTTGTGCTAGACTAGTCAAACATACATGCATGTGCCTCAAAAGGAAGGGAGAGATTTTGTCAGAGATGAGGTCTAACCTTCATTAGCTGAAGCAATTAAAGATGTCTTAAAAGCTTTTTACTTAGAAATACCTCATATCATTCAGTACTATAGCTACGATTACTTATTTATCCTCTTCATCCCTGATTAGAAGAATTTGATATCTTCCAGTACCAATCTATTATGTTCATGATTATAAATCCATTGCAAACTGAAACTACATTAAGAGTTGCTTTTCAACACTAAAAAACACATTTAACTCTTGTAAACATGTCTTGTTGGCTAATTTAGAATAGTTCCTACAGGCAGTCCAAACAGTGCAAGATTATGTGTGCATAATGGGGGTTAAGCTAACAGGGAATTAATGTCACGGCCCAGAGGAGGAGAGTGAAATTAAATGAGTCCCCAAATAGGTAACATAAACACTTGACGAAGGAAGTAGAGTCTAGACACAATAGTACACTTGACAGTGTCTGTACTGGAGAAATCACATGACATGTGGAAAATACTTGTTTCCTTACACCAGTTCTTACTTCCCAGCTAATACAGCAATACCACAATGATATCATGGAGGTAGAATTGTTTAATTCCACCTTCATGGATATATCAAGTAAAACGTTTTATGCATCCTCATATGCATGGCAGCAGTCTGAGCAAGTCTGTCTGCCTTTCCCCCCCATGGGGCCCCTCTGTAAGACCTCCTGGGTACAAACTTACTTTCCAACAGAAACATGCAGTGAATGGTTTTATTTGTTTTCAGGCCAGACATGTTTCCATCTCCATTTCCCTAAGACTTTTGTGGTATGTCGAACCTAAATAGCAGCTGCTTGCAATGTTTACAGGCTTGTGTAACCAAAGACAATTTCAACCGCCCAAAACAAAACATGAATCATACCTATTTTGTTAAGTAATGCTGATATTTTTCTTCACATGCACCGATTTCCAAAACTGGTTTAAATTTGTAGAAAACAATGTACAGTACAATGATCAGATATGGCATCGTGTTTTTACAAGATTTTGACGTTTTTAGCCTTAAAGTACATCTTTAAAACCTCTGAAAGGAAAAAGACAAAAGTGCCAGATGTTTGAAAGCTTGGTAAAGCAGATTAGTTCAACCAACACTTCATTTAGCTTATTTCCTAAGGAATGACGTGTAAATATTGGTTAAAACATTCCAGTAGACACGGGCAAGGGACTGATCAGGAGAGATTATAGGGAAGAGGAGAGAGTAGACATAGAGTTTTATGTCAGTAAATCAGTTTTTTGCCTACTTTCTTTATCACCCTAGCATTATGCAGATATCTGGAGTCTTTTTATGTTAACTATGATTTTGTTTCTGTATAACAGGGTATTGCTCATATTGATATTCCAGGTTACATCTAAGGTGCTACAAATGCACCTCTACACCTTGATTTACTGGGAAGTTATCCCTTTAAGATACACAGAACCATACCTTTCTCTTATTAATGTTTCATATCATCATTGATGCTT